GTGTGTGTCAGTATAAATACACACAAACAAACAACACATTAGATAATAAAAGCAATACTGCCACTTTCTGATTTTTTTTTTCAGTACTCTCGTTCTTTTTGTCTTGCATGTCCTTTGTCTCCATGCTGTCATGTGCACACGCACCTTTTCCACCTCTCAGGTTGTGTGAAACATATGAATGAGATGGACAGTCGTTCATATGGCGCTGTGTTGCGTAGCTGCAGGTTTCAGTGTGACTTTCACCTGGTGCTACGAGAAGCTGAGGATCGATTTAGGAGAAGCCAGCAGTTAAAGAGGACTAGCCACACTCTAACACATACTCACATCCACACACACGACAAAAACAGAAAGAGCTCTAGTGAGGATACAGAGAGGAGCAAGAGGGGAAAACACATGCTGAGTCACCAACCATCAGACAGATGTAAGAGACGGCGTCCACACATGGTCTTTCACAGTGTATTTGGGAGTGTTGAAGAATTGCTCCGACCGCAAATGTTTTGAAAGTAGCTTTGATAGAACAAGGCCTGGAGAACCAAACACACCCTCATGATTTACATTTATTCATTTAGCAGATGATTTCATCCAAAGCAACAATGCATGTTGGGAAAGCGTTGGGAATTTATAATTGCATACAAAGTCTGACGGTCCGTTTATATTCTATTTTATACAAACTCTGTTCAGATAGATCATTAAAATACAAACAGTATGTGACAAATGGTATGTGGAATCGAGATTCGCAATTTAATGATATATTATGTCCCAGTTATTGCATAGAAGTATGCAAATCTTCACATGCTATATTTGCAATTTTAGTGCATTTGGTGCTTCTTTCCTGTTCTCTAATTCTCTGTTTCATTCTCCAGGTGTTAGTCTCACACCCCTGAGAAGACCGAGAGAAATATACAGTAAGAGAAATGTTCTTTCCTTTTCAGGACAAAAGAGAACTGTAGCTCTCAGGTGTATTTCAGTTTAGAGGTGAGGGGGGAGGTAACATTCATAATGTCTGTGCCACTATAAACATCTGCAAACTGCCCCATACATTTGATAAATGGTGCATATTCGTGCAAAGAGCCAGGTTATATTATTGAATAAGGTAGTTATGTAACACAAGACTCATCTGTGCTTTTGACTTTTGTCTATGTTGCTGAAATGTCTTTCCATCTTTGCTCTCAGCTTTTTCCTTTTGTCCTCCCTTTTTTCCCCTCAGTCTCACTCATTCCATTCCCTCTATTGCCGAGTTGTGGTCTCTGAGTGCTGTTCAGTTGTTCCGATGTGGCTTTTTTTCCCATAACCTCAAGACTTACTCACTGAACTTTTTAGAGATGTTCTCACTATAATTGTCAAGTAAAGGGTAATGCAGTGTCATCCAGTCATTATCCATAATCAAACCTGGAAAGGGTGATCAGGAACCCAATCATAAGATTTTTACTTTACATTTTTACTAGTCAAAATATGGCACTAATAAGCAATTCTAATTGGTGCTAATGTAAAAGTAGCAATTTATAGTTTAGCAGCTATTATATGTTACTGCTAAGTTCTGCAATTGACCAAACAAAATGAAGAATAACTCTATGATGATCTTAATGGATAATTTACATTTTTGAATTGTATTATTTGTTTTTAATTATTTAATTTAAACTAAAATATAATTATTTTGCATTGTTTTTAACTTGTATTTTATTACTTTATAGATATCTTAATGCCTGGATGAAACGAGTAAATGATAAAGATTGGTGTGTGTGTGTGTGTTAGAGAAAGACAGTTATATAGGAAGATGGTTGGAGCATATGTGTAGGGAAGATGGGTAACTAGATTATAGTTCCCTGTGGGTTCTGACCTCTATAGTCATTGACCTGCCGCTATGAAGACTAGTCTGTTCTCTGTCTCTACCCCACAACAAAGTCATTAGGACTGAGGATATGTCCAGACTCAAGCACACAACACTGTTTCACTTTAACAAGATCAGTGTGTTCCAGTCTACCAATACACACGTTCACATACTGCATTTGCATCCATACATGCACACACAAAGGTTTTTGTTCCTCCAAGAGTTGGTGGAACAATGTGACTGTATTGTACTGTGTATGACCAAACACACCCTCATGATTTACATTTATTCCTTTAGCAAATGCTTCAGTCCAAAGCAACAATGTATATTTGGAAAGTGTTGGGAATTTACATACAAAGTCTGATGATCTGTTTATATTCTATTTTATACGAACTCTATTCAGATAGATGATTAAAATGCAAACAGTATGTGACAAAAGGTCTGTGGAATTGAGATGCAATTTTATGGTGTATTATGTCCCAGTTATTGCATAGAAATATCTAAAAGCCTCTTTTATCTTTAACAACAGGATATTTTCACATGGCATTTTTAGTGCATTTGGTGTGTCTTTTCTGCTCTCTAATTTTCAGTGTTTCTCTCTCCAGGTGTTAGGCTCACACCCCTGAGAAGACGGAGAGAAATATACAGTAGGAGAAGTGTTCTTTCCCTTAACATTCATAATGTCTGTGCCACAATAAACATCTGTAAACTACACCATACATTTGATAAAAGCTGCGTATGCATGCAAAGAACCCGGTTATAGGAATGTCGTTCATGCTGAGAGGAATGTTCTGCTGTAGTCGTGCTAAAGAACAGTGAGTATTTTTTCAGTAGGATACTAGTACAGGGTTCAGTACTGTGTGTGCAGTTTCACAGACTGCCCACTAAATCATTCTAAAGATCAATAAACCTCCCTGCTGCCTGTGCAAGTCTCACCATTTGTATTGCTGTTACCTGCACGGACACATTTTGTGTGGTTTGGTTCATTAATTCCACTTCCTCTATTTTTCTCTCTTTTCATTTTCTCTCAGGCCAAGGCATAAAAAAGAACATGGATCACAGCCGTCTCAAGAAAACTTCAGAAGAGTGTCTCCCAAAAAATGTATGGTACTGTTAGTATTAGGTGAATTATATACCATGATTTCACACTAACTTAACTTGCATTGAACCTGGAACATTTTTATTACACAGGCAGTCCAATGTCCAGGTTTATTACATTCTGAGCATAATCAAAGAAAACGCAAATGTAAAATCCATTAACTTGCTTTACCTCTGAAACAATTCACATTGACTTTAAAGATAAACTTACTATGAACCGTTCATATTTGTGCACTCATAAGCATAATGCATATCATCTTTAGTCCCCATTTTTATCTAAATGTGTGAATTCGTGAAGGTTTTCTGCTTTAGTCTTCAGGCAGACACAGAGAGAGGCGGAACTTTTCTGCTGATGAGTTGCAGTACCTCAAATTTGGTGTGAAGAGGTTTGGCCATTCCTGGAACTCTATCCTCTGGACGTATCCCTTCCAGCCCGGACGCACCAATGTAGACTTGGCCAAGAAGTACCAACACATGCAGGTATGACATGACCAACAGTGATGAACATCAGTTTTCTGAATACTGTAACTTGTATGTAAATTTAACAAAGGCTGTCAAAACGTTCACTTAATATTTTACATCACAATCACTCTATGCTTCCACCAAGATGTACATTACAGTGGTGAAAAATTGGAGGAGTTGCTAAATTTCACAATTTAATAATAGAATTCATATAGAAAACAAGTCATTAACTGTTTTTACTGTATTTCTGATTAAATAAATGCAGACTTGTTGAGCATAAGAGACTTTCAAAAACATGAAAAAATCTTACTGCCCCCAAACTGTGAAAAGACATTTTTTATGAGGTGCTCCCATGTACTGATTGAAAGTGAATAGTAATGATAAAATAAACCGATATTAGACTCCCAGTGGAAGAATGATCTCACTAAGAGGAAATGCTAAAGAAACTGTGGCCTCTTTGGAATGTGGCCGTCGCACTGTTGCATAACACAATCTGTTCTTCTGGTTGTAACAACATGACAAACATGATATGGCTCGATGAGATCTAGAGGCCATCAGATGTTAGTTATATTGCTGTGCCAGTACCTTCATGGCTGTGGTGTGATCTAGCCTGTATTGTGAAAGAAGAGCACATATCATATTTTTGCTTCCTGTTTCATTTCCCCAGTACTGCTCGTCCAGAATCTTGATTGCGTTTTCACTCTTTTACTGACAGAAAGCTAAAGCACGGGGTGTGGATCTATCTGGGGCAGGAGACGAATAAAACATCACCAGTTGAACTCATTTACAGCCATCACTATTTGTTGAGTTATGTATTGTATATTTTTGTTACTGGATTTTATAGTTTTGCCCTTATTTTGCTGTACAACAAGGTGATGTGTTAGAAAATAACTTTATTTGCACTAAAGAGAAAAGGAAAAAATATTTAATTTTAAATGTTGTTATATTTTCTACCCAACGTAAGATATGGGTATCACAGTTACCTGTTTGTTTTTTGTCAGATCCACTTTATTTGCATGGGAGTCCATACTGTATGTATATTTGAATAAAGTTTACTTGTTGTGCAACAGTAGATTCCCTAGAGCTATGTCATCTAAATTTATTCCTCTTATGGCTGAAGTACACAAAGCTCTGTTATACAAGGATAATGAGGCATGGCATTTCCTTGAGATTCCTGCAAACTGAAGCAACTTAAAATTTCATCAAAAACTTTGCTACATGTTCAGCACTGAATACTCAGTTGAAAGATGTTTGTTTATAATAAAGCCAAAGTTTCTTGGGAAAAGAGCCAGAAAGTTAACCTCAAAAAAAAAAAAAGTCCCATGAGACCCCTTTTCTCTGGAAAGAATGTTGCCCTTCTCCCCAGAAGCTTTGCTGAGAAAACTGAGGGAGATTGTGCATGTTATCTTGCCAGGAAACTCCCATGTATTGGGATTGTTCATATACTTCTGTGTTGACTTTTATTTCTAACACCAGAGGCATTGCGGTAATGTTGAATCAAGCTAGTTTCACATATTGATGTTTTGCTCAGATGTTTGAGAAGTTACTTTAGGAATGCATACCACAAACAATATTTGATTAAATACAAAATACAAATCAAGGAACAATGTTATTGTGATGTGTTACAGTCTTTATTTTCCTTTACTACAATCATTGTTTTAATGTACATTCTTTTTCTCTTCCCCAATGGGAGACTGAACGGTTCATACACAATCACCAAGAGCTTGGAAGAAAATAGACCATCGAGAAAAGATACCAGACAGCTAGTTTGCTGCTTGTCAATGGATTGGTAGGCTTAAGGAATGTTCATTAGATATCTGAGGTGGCTGGTTTTACATGTCACTTTCATCTATTTCATGACAGGGTTGTGTAAAACTCAGAATTAAAGAACTGGCTCTATTGACTAATATTAACCTTCAAACATCAAAGCTTTTTTAACTGTGGTTCAAACTTTCAAATAAGACGTCAAGCCAATATTTCTGATAAAAAGTTTATTAAATTCTTTGAACTTCAATTCATTTGAATTCTAATGAATTCTGCATCCAGTTTGCTAGCTCAATTCAATTCTGAATGAAAAACAACCCTGTTTCATGACTACATCCTCAGGGAAAAAAAACATGTTCATTAATTTCTTGAATATTGTTACGACATAATTGCACGTAATTATCTTCCAGCCGCTGCTGTTTTCTAGAGGCGAGTGTAGTGGTTTATATAAGGTTGACTGCGTCAACTGCATTCTGTCCCATATCTTCCAAAGTGAATGATGGATCTGAGTTAGGGATTGTAAATTCATGGGTCAGTTTACAGTCCAGGAGGTCCACTGAGGGCATCTCCACCTTATCAAGACATTCCAACAAATCCTTGTTCTCAGCTGGTGCAGGACTGCTAATTTTGTCTTCACCCATCTCACTGGTCATGGCTTCACTCACCATAGTGACTCCAGAAATGAGGGCTTCTGAGAGTGGAGATTTCAGCAGGTCATCCAAGAGGCTGGGTTCTTGGAGAACATCAGAATCAGCGAGATCTACAACAGGTTCAGACTTCTGTTCAGGTTCAGGTTTCTTCTCAATCAGGCTGACGGATGCCAATGCGGACTCCACTGCTTTAATACCTCTGTTTACAACATCTTCCACCGGTGCAGCAATCTGTTCAGTGGCTGCGTTGACCGTTTCTCCTACAGCTTGTGTAAGGCTCTGCAGAACACTGCTCGAAGAGCCAGGCTCACCGATGGTCTTCCCTTCTGCAGGCATGCTCTCTTCTTGAATCTCACCTTCAGAAGATTTCTGCCCTGCATTTTCAGCCACAGGTGAGCCCTCTTGTACAGCTGGACCTACTGTCTCTGCTCCTATCCCTGCTTCACTCTTCTTCCGACTGAGCTTTGCTCCCATTCTGCCCCCTTGCAATAGAGATACATCAGTTATAAAAGCCAACTCACACAAATAACTTTTTATGTAGCTATACAACATTAGTCTAGTTTCTACAATACTAGGAGAACAAAGTAAGAGGTTGTCACTGGGCCAAAAACAACATTTTCATGGTGAAGGTCTCCAACTATAAACTGGACTACAGATATTGTAGAAACAGATACAGACTACTGTTTTGGAAACAGTATAAAACATCACATAATGGAAAGGAAGGCCACAGGAATTTGCTTTAGCAGGAATGACAAAAAATACAAATTACAAAAAAAAAACTTATACTTCTCAGCTTAATCAAGAGTTGTTAGTCACAATTTGAGAAAGTTGCTAACATGTAGGCATCATGGTTAGGGTGTTTTGCATATATTTATGTAAAACATCGCCAGTGGAACATGTAGAACAAAAACAACTGAATTAGTCTACCTATATATATATATATATATATATATAAAGGAAAAACAGTATGTTGGATAAAAGTCTGTGTTATGATGCTGAAATTTGGGAAGCAGCATGGTTTAAATTTTTAGACATCTGAACATCATGTTCTTTTGTGGTTTTATTGGCCACTAAATAGAGAAGAGAAACAAGCACACGTTGATAGATATGAACAGCTTCCATTGGCATTCATGTAAATAAAAGCAAAAAGAGCTATTTTTATTTAGCATACTCTGGAAATTAAATGAAAAAATAAAACAACTTCTCATTATTTTACCGATATTAATTTATATATATATTTATTTATAAGTTCATATGTAAGACAATTTAAACTCTTATTTTATCTCAGCCACACCTTCCAGCTGCTGAAGTGCTTTGAATATGGGTCTCATCTGGGGACCACACTCTTGTAAAGAGATTTAAAGCACAATTTAAACTGTCAAATTAAGTTTTTAAAATAATGAACCCTGAAATAACATGGAGTTTAAACCCGTTATAATTTTCCCCACTGACGTGGCATCAGAGCTGAGACAGCGGGACAAAGCGCAGTCCTACTGAGACTACCGATAAGCAGGATACTTATTGTACTAATCCAAAACTTAAACATTGCCGTTTTGCATGCGTGGAAAATCAAATGGTCAATTAAGTAAATACCTACCTTCGTTGAACAGTAAATGAGTGGAGACGCGAGCAGAGACAGGATCTGGGATAGAGAGACTGACTGCAAAAGGAGGAAACTCTCAGATAGTGATGCACAGTTTCCAGACGAATCACTCATTTGAACCGATTCTTTTTAATGATTCATTTGAGCCGATTCGAAAAGCTATTAGGCTGTGTGACAGCTAGACGACAGAAATGTGAAAAAAACTTGTTTCAACTTACATTTACATTTACATTTAGTCATTTAGCAGACGCTTTTATGCAGGAAGGGAGCAATTAAATTACACGCGCTCCTTCTTAGCCGAGGGCAATTATTATAATTACCAGAAAGTGCAATCAAAAATACAAACGCAAACAAAAATATAACGTAGAAATAGGCAGAAAACGAAATATTCCTTCCTAGCAGCAAGTAATAATTCCAACAGCAGATCTATAAACAAGTATTATGCAGGACACTCACGTGCAGCCGTCTGTCTCTTCTGTTGACTAATCGCTGTTGACGAATCACTTAATTCGACTTTTTCAAGCAGTTAAGAAAACCTGTCTGGCAAAACACCTAATAACAAATACAAGCGGATTCAGAGTGCATTAAATCTGAAGTTGCATTGGTCTGAGGTACTGTTTTTTTCATGCACATTGGGTCGACAAAACATGTCATGGTAATTGCGAATTTACAAACCACAAGTAGCTGTATCACAAAAGTATTAGCCTATGTTTAAAAGTCTTTACGTTTGACTATGCTTGACCATGCTAATTTCGCGAGACCAACAGATTGCGCGGCCAGTCTAGTGGCACAAGTGGTCCACTATTCATTTTTAAGAATAATTCGCACACTGTATTTAAGGACCAACATAATTTTGTATACATAAAAATAAAACCGCTAAATTCTGCACATCTAGGAAAACTTAACGACTCAAAAGAATCCATTTTGAACCGGTTCACTAAAACGAACCGATTCATTCAAATGAATCGGACCTAATGCTACCCCTGATTCACTCCCTCCGTCAACAGAGCTGTTGGAAATTTACTCCCCCCCCCCCCCC